CAGGGGTCACATCTAATGAAATATTCTAGTCCTTACTAGATCATAAAGGTCGTTGTACCAACCGGAAGACCGCCAGTGTGGCCGCTGGGTGAAATGGTCAATTGGCTGAAAAATGTGGTCAATGTTGAACTCTAGGGCATTTTAACAACGAACAATGAAAGAAACCCGATGTTGCGGACAATCACTAACCAAAGACAGGAAATAAGGCAGTTCACCGTATGGAAAGCTGCGTGGTTAGTAGGAAGCTACGGCGCGTTATCAACTGCGGGCATGGCCTGGGCGCCTCGCTCGTACTTGGTCAACTGCGGGCAAAGTCTCTTTTGCCAACTGGTTCCGGGAAGCCACGGCGCCCGGAGTGCTGGGTTGCCTACCAGTAGTATGCATGCCTTCCTGTCGCGGTCCGCCATTGTTATGCCTTAATGTCGTGCTCGCCATCTTGGCCCTTACGAAAAGAATCAGTACCCAAACAGTCCCCAAACGGTCTCATTCAGTCCCCAAACAGGACCCATTCAGTACGTTCGCTGTGAGACTAGTGCGCTGCGAGGTCAGTAGTAAGCATCCCCCATTAGGGCCATCCGCCATTGATATCCCCCAATCTGCCGGGTACCCCAATCTGCCGGTTCCCCATTCTGCCATCTATCCAGAGCCTAACACAACCTAACCTCGATCTTATCAGCCCCTAACACAACCTAGATCTTATCAACCCCTAACAGAACCTAGGTCTTATCAACCCCTAACCTAACCTATCGAGGATTGGCGGAGGGGCGTAAGTGATGGGGCTAACTTAACCTATCGAGGATGGGGGTACACGTCTGTACAAGTTGGGGTGCGACGGGTGTCAACACGTTCGCCTGGATCCGCCCCTGCGACACAACACGTTCGCCTGGATCCGCCCCTGCGATGGGTCTCAGCATGTCTACCTGGACCCGCCCCTGAGACGGGTGTCCACTCGTCAACCTGGTCCCGCCCCTACCCGGAGGTGGGAGGGGTGGACTTGCGCTGCACCAGGTCGGAACACGTTCGCCTGGATCCGCCCCTGTGGGGGAGAGGTGTGCGTCAAGGAGTATGGCCGGCCCGGCCAGAGCCAGCCGCTATCAAAAATCGGGGGAAAGGGTCGTTGAGATGCGAGTGGATTGCGTTTCGAATTTGAAATTTCGCGCTGCGCTCTGCGCGCCCTCTAGCGCCCAGGTGGCGCGGTCCGGAGGCGGCAGTTACCGTGGTTACCTAGGGTGGAGGGGGCGGCGGCCAGCGTCCCGCCCGCCGCCCGCGGGCTCAGTTCGCCTCCTGCCTGTTCCTGTTGCGCAACAGATCCTGCTCGTGCGCCATGGAGTTCATTAAGGAATACGGACGTGATTCCTCTGTCGAGGAGGAGCTGGTCGTCCGTGACCTGTCCTTGGAGGAGGACTTAGACATGGTGAGTACAGTGATATCCTTGTGTTCGCCGCCATCCAGTATTCCTCGAGTCCGATCATTTTCGCCGCCGTGAAGCTACCGAAGTTCGTTATTTTTTCGCGCGCCGAATCTGCTGGTGAGTCTGTGCTATACATACTAGCACTTTGGTGTTTGTGTACGCTGTTTCTTTAGCCTGCACCTTTTCTCTAGAATCACGAGTGCTAATGTATCGCAGTCCGTATGATATTTCTTCTTTGCACCTAACCTAGAAGCTTGTGCTTACGTTTCTCGCGCTCGTGCGCTGTAAATACTTCTCTATGCTATGTTTCCTCATGATTTCTGTCTTTTTAATGTACGAATAGACCTTCTGAGCGAGTTGGAGCGCACGATACGGCAACGCCGCACCCCCCACCACTCCCGCTCCACCTCGACTGGCTATATTTCTAGATTTCCCTTAAAATTGGATGAAATTCAAAAAACGAAGAACACTTGCAACTAGATTTTATCACGCTGAATCCGAATATATCGCACTTTTTGTCATTTGATTCCGTATTTAGGCGTATATTCGATTATGAGTGGTCAGGCCCGGGGTCGGCTGCTGCTCGCGCGCCGTGTTTGTTTTGCCGGTCGCCACTGGTGGCTGCAATTGCGTTGTTTGTCGTCGAAAGTGAATGACACTTCAGTCTCAGTGCATAAAACACGTCTTCAGAGGTAAATATCTCATTGTGGAGCGTTAATTAACACCGAAACATACATTTTGCGACTGAAATCACTTAAAGCACCAACCCTAACCCTCTGATTGTTCTATGTGGGGCTTGTAGGTAGCCATGGTGTTCAAGTCGCGAACCAAGAAAGGCCTTTCAAGAAAGAAAGGATTTTTCCATAGAAAAAAAACAACTTCTACGTCAAAGGGCGAAACACCTGGAAAATCGGACGCTGTTGAAGCATTGCTTCAACCTGGAAAGGTATTTTCGACCCTGTTTCAAAGTAGTATTACTTAAAGTTGATGTGTCTTTATTTTTAATCAATTATGAAATGTTGGACACCAGGAACCAGCTGTGGTGGTTGATGAAGCCTTTGCAACCCCAGTTGTAGAACACAATGTTGAAATTGATGAACGTCCTATATCTGCTGGTAGTGTAAGTATAACCAAAATCGTTGTAGGAGCCTAGTGTCGACTCTTATTGAAGCCTTTCCTGCTGGTGTGTTATGTTGAAGTCATAGTAATTATATTTGCAACCCACTTATTTAACAGGCTTTAGCTCAATCAATAGCTGAGCTGTCAGTGAACCCGTCACCTTCCAAATTGCATACAAAGACATTGGTAAGTTATAACTGGTGGTCATACTGTCATATCATAGTTTTACTGTATAGTGCTTTAATTTTTTTCATACTGTCATATCATAGTTTTACTGTATAGTGCTTTAATTTTTTTCAGATGCATCAATTACGTTGTAGTCCAGCTGCTACACCAAAGATGGCTTCCCCAAGAGCTTCCCCAAGAGCTTCAGTGTGGAGAGTGACACCCATTCAAGTACGCCACAATTTTGTTTGAGAGTAAGGAAAGTTTGTTTACCAAGTTTTGTGGTGCAAGTCTCTGTCATAATTCTGTCCCCTTACAGGAGGAACCTGAAATGAGTCATGAGTCAGGCACAAGAAGAAGCCTAACTTTTGGTTCAACTTTAAATAGTACTAGCTTTGATAATATGGATGGTGTGACACCTTTAATTGATTTTGATGAGTCCTTCACGGTGCAAATTGAGTGTGATGAGAGCACTGCTGTGGAAAAAGAAACACTCCCTGACTTTATATTTGAAGAAGCCGCAGCTCCAAAGGTAAGTCCAAATTTATGAGACAATAAGTACTGGTTCGGAAGTCTTGTGAAAAAATTAAAAGAAGCTAAGAAAGAATTTAAAACTGAATATATTTCACTTACGTTGAATAGAAACAGTATTTAAAAATGCACCATAGTTCCTAAAAAGTAAAATATTAGATAACAATAACAACTGTCATAGGTATAAAGTAATAATCTTATCAAAATTTTCTTACAATAACAGAAAGAAAGGAACATTTTTCATGACATAAAATGATATAAATTTGACAGGAATGTCCATGCATATGGAAGTCAGTGTGCCCCAGGTGTTCAAACCAAACCGTTCAACCTGTAATTCAAATCCCTGTAAGTAAATTGTTCAGATCATATTGCATTTTACAAATCCTCTTCTTCTTCGTCATATTTAAATGTGATTGGAGGCAGTCTTCTAGGAGTTCGTTGTAAAAAAAATTCCGGAATGATTAGGGTGCCATGGATGTTGCTAAGTTCTACCAGCTTGGGCTCCCAGAAAAGAGGGTCATAAGGCACACTTGCTGTGATGTGCCCCTTTGGTGACCAAATGAAGTAATCACACTCTTGCATTCCTAAAATTTCCAACGCC